TCGAATCTATTATTACATGTTATTACGTTGAATTACAGTTAATGTACTGTATTAAATTACGTTAAATATTAGTACTGCAATTTATCGAACGGTGCCAATGATCATATAAAGCACAAAGCAACTGGACATAAGTAATAAGTCCGAACAAAGCAATAATTTTAAAAAAAGAAAATGCAGAAACATTAGTCTGCGTTCGTGAGTAAATAATTCTTGAAGTAATAAATAGTAAGTAAACTCATTGATAGATTTTTTAATAACTTCATGTGCAGTTTCGGAAACATTAATTAGTTTTAATGAAGGATTAGAGAAACAGAAAAAATATAAAATAGTCAGTGCAAGATAAGAGAAGTAAAAAATGATTTTCATTAAAGTTATTTTAGAAGTATTCTTGGGATAATAAAAATAATTAATAGTACTGGGCTTCATCGTCGCGGCTAAAATTATCACAATTACATAGCTAATACGGAGTAGTAATTTATGTGATTTTAAAACTGCCAACTCTAATAATAATAAAGAAATCGTAACGAAAGCATAACATGATAGCATATTACTATGTAAATAAATTTTAGTTTTGAGATAAGTTGATTTCAATAGATAGATATTCATAATGAGATTATCAATTAATATTGTATATATCACGTAGTTTTCCATTGTTAGAGCGTATAATATTGGACTGATAAATTGATAACAAATAAAAATGAGATTTTTAAGCAAAAAGTATTGATTGTCTATATCATTGTTGTTAATGTCGTTTAGCTCGTTATAATTTTCAGTGACTCTGTCTTCGATAGTAAAATACTTAATTGTTTCGAAAATAAATTTGGATACAGTCAAAATCACAGATTGACGCAACGCAAAACAATGTCCTAGTGGGTCATTAACTTCAAAATTAAACTTGTTCAAGACTATTTCAATTAAAAGTGAATAATAGATAATGCTGGAGAGTGTTGAATTTTCTGAATCGAAACATGAAAAAAAAAAGTTACTAATAAAAAAATCTGAATCTGGCTGGGTAGTCGCTTCTAGTGGAGCTTCGATATCATTTTGATCTTTATAAATCTGTTCATAGCGAAGATAGTAAAATGGCGATTCAGAAACAAGATATGCTTTCAAGTCGTCGATCATATAAGTTCTAGGAGATTCAACTATGTTAACAAAGGTGCAATATAATAATACACTTTAGATGATTATGCAAATTACGTCTTGGTTAAAAAACTTTGAAGTTATTATATTTGTATCTTACATAACTATTATTCTCGTTGTGTGGGAACGAACAAAAATTTTTGATTGTAGTATATCCGATGATTTAAAAACCTACGAAGGCAGTGTAAGAGAATCTCCGAATTCAACAGAAAAATCAAACCAAACTACTCCTATTTGCGTTTCTTGTCTTGTTAGTCCTCGAGAACGTAATGAAAACTATTATTGTCTGCAATTTATTAGTGATTGTTCAGAGGTGCAAAAAAATAATTTGAAATTTGCGTGAGACAAAAACACTAAATTCCATGTCAGTTAAGAATTATCCAATTATTGTGAGAAAATACTTTTAAAATTTCGTCCGCGTAAAAAATTTGCTGCAGGTCACAAATACGTTCATTAAGAGTTTTGTTAACCACATCAGCAATTGTGTATAACTGGCTTATGTTTTCAATCGACTCTAAATCTACGAGTTCTTTAATTTTTGAGCATATTGACGGAGTTATCTTCGTTAAAATGTTTTTTATTGAGTTTGTAGACGCTGTTGTTGATATTTCTATAGATTTATAATTTGATTCGTTGTTATCTATAAATTTGAATTTCGCTGTAATGTGATTATAATTGGGCAGACAAGTCTCTGAATCTGTTTTTTTTTTGCTTTTTTTTTCAGCCGTGTTCCAGTTTAAATATTCGAGTTCAGGTGTGCTATTGTTGTTTGAAAATATATTTGTAAAAACAATCTTGCATATGTTCATTAAATTTATAGCACTATAAATAAATAAGAGTGTGTAACAAAAAATCAATAATTCTACACTTGTATCGAGAGATAATGATTCATTTTTGCACAAGGATAAATAAATTTCGGGTAGTAACATATGAAAAAAGCACAGTAAAGTATTTTTAGGCGGAGTTCCTTTTTTGATAAAATAAGTAAAATCCATATTGTAGTAGATATTTGTCGTTGGAGTGATATCAGTTTGAGAAGTCACAAAAACTTTATTTTTCGGGTTTGAGGGCTCTAATGTATGCAAAAAAATTAATACTCCAAGTTGTTCAAAATCTGACCAAGCTAATCTACAGTCTTCAACTGTCATGATGTTGAAAGTGTAATTTTTGAGCAATTGTCGTAAAGCCGGTAACTGAACTTCTAAAACGTTAATTATCTCTTGATCATCTATGCTACGTTTAAAAAATAGCTCGTTGTGCTCAAACGAAAAAACAAGTAGATAATTCTTGACAGCTTGAAGAATTATTTCTGCATGGTTTGTTTGTTCTATTGAGCATAAGTTTTTTGTGTTATTAGTGTCAAAATTTACTATTTTTTTCATTATAGTATCGATAGTAGTGGCTACATTATCGTGCAGGTTAATTTGTGTCTCATCTGTCAATGTATTTTTAACAGTTTGACTAACATTAAGGTTAGGATTATCGTAAAAAAATCTCATTAAAAAGTAGATTTATAAAAACAAAATCTAAGAACACTAGTCGCCTTTATGGAAATAGAAAACTACAAAATGTCGGATAAGGGGACGATGGTAAACGTACTTATATTTAAATTTATTGAATATTTAAGTTAAAATAATTGTTAAATATATAAATAGTAAATATAGATCAATATTTAAGTTTTGTGGTTTGAAAATGAAAAAATGCGTGTTTTAACTTGCTTATCAAGCAGTATAAGTTTTCTATTAATTATATCGCTGTTGGTTATAATCCCAAATTCGATATATCAAAAGATAATAACAAATTATAAATTACAAACTCTTTTTGGATATTGGGATGTTCATGATGAAGAAGTTGATTTATTTAACTTCGGCGTGAGCAAAAAACATGTGGATAATTTGGCTTTATCTGTGTTTAGATTTACAGACGAATTGTCTAAAGTTAGAGAAAACAATATTTTTAGCATTAATCTAGAAAGTCCTTGTCCGTACTGGGTAGAAAACGTTCATTGTACCTCAATAGATAACTCATGTTCGGTTTGTACCTGTAAACCCAACGAAATTCCGGATCTTTTTAAAAGGCGAGTAATTAGAGGGTATGACTACGACGACGTAGAGCGAGAAGATAGTTTGTTGGATTCACAGATGTATAATATTATTAAAAAAAAAAACAACCCTTTTGGAACGAGTTCACAACCTAATCAATTTCATTATGACCTTGTTGATATTGAGAAGAATTCTCCCGGGTTTACCGATTATAAAGGGTCAAAAATTTGGAATATTTTATATAAATCAATTTGTCAAAATTTATCTGCAGAAGCATGTATAAACTGTAACGGATTAGCTCAATTGATTAGTGGAATGCAAGATTGCATTTCTGTCACTTCAAGTGAACACTACAATACAACAAAAGAATTTTTAGGTTCTGAGATTGTGTCCAGATTAGCGAATTTTTTAATTTTTAAGAAGATGCATATTGATTATTTTAATGGTGAACGCAAATTTAGTTTAATGTTTTATCGAAAAGCAGCGAATATACAAAAGTATCATTCTAATCTAAGACGAATTTTTTTATTTACAGTCGTATCCAACGTGGAAATATTTAGATATATTATAAATGAACTGGTTGAAACTAAACGGATTACCATAGAAGAAACAGAGAAATTAAACAAATTGTTGGAAAAAATAGAAAGTGAAGGTAAAAGCTATTTTGATGAAATCTCACAGCATTACAAAAATTCCATGAAATTCAATAAATCATTTAATAAAACCGTTCAAAAGATGTTAACTATGCTAAAGTGTATTCCTTGTCAACGATGTAGATTACATGGAGAAATTAAGATGACAAGTTTTGTTAAATCGATAAAAAATCTAATTTATGAAGCCAAGCAAATCGATAACGAAATACCGCACAATGTTCTGGTTGCAACAATACACGCAACGAAGTATTATTCTGCAGCCATAATTACAAATTTAAGAATTCGTTATATCGTGAAAATAATGAAAATTTTATCTAGTTGCATGATCGTTGTTGGTGGATACTTTTTTTATAAGTTTGCGTTGCTTATCTCTCCCTAAGTAATTGTATTATAAAAAGAAGGGAATTTTTTTCAATGAGATAGTATAATGAGTAAATTTTAAAATTTTTGATAAATATTTTTTGTGAATCATTGCTGTCTCACGCTTAACGTTTGAGTAGTTAAAATTTATATAATGAAAAATGACAATCAAGATGTGAACAAACCGAGAGAAAACGAAAGCCAAGATGAATTTAATTTTCATAACCTGAGAGGGAGTTTGCCAAAAACAAAGACCGGAATATTGAAAGAAACATCTGCTCACATATGCACTTCAATATATTATATTAGTAGTTTGATGGACAGTATGTTAGACGATATGTTAGTAAGATATGCCAATTTTTTATGTGTAGCGACCGATGAATTTAATAAATACAAACTGTCCACTTTGGCAGCCATAAATAAAGGAGAGAAAAAAAGAGTTTTAAGTAGCATACAAAAACGATCGCCTGCGTTCAATAATGCGCTTAAAAAGTGTATGCAGGACGGTTCTAATGCAGCAGCACGGTGTCTCGAAAAGCTCGACACGAAAGACAAACTGCTAACTGAACATGCCAACAGAGGGAAGTTGCTTGAAAAATCGTTATTTCGAGCCATTAAATCGAACTTATTCCAAAAAGAATTTCCTGATCAGAAGGTTAGTATGCGAACGTCGGATTTACAGCAGTATTTATACAATCATTCTATTCCTTACGAATACGACGCAAAAGACATTCCAAGCAACGAAACAGATGAGGAGAACAACGGGAATAAAGAAAATGTCAATTATCTAGCCAATTCAAATATGTTAAAAAGAGGATTTACGGATCATGCTAATATTATAACAAAAAAACAATTTGTACCATCCAAGCCTGTTGAAATCGACCAAAATCTTGAAATTAAAAAAAATTTCTTTCCACAAGATAGCGATGAAGGTAATATAGAACCTATCAAGAATCACGAGCATATTTCAGAATTAGACACTAAAGACGTTAGTATAGGTTTAACTACACAAAATAATTCGAAAAACCTCGATGTTCCTCTCAAATCTCCTGGTCTAAACAAAGGCTTGAAAAAGCTTTTTTTCGCACAAAAAAAATCCAAACCGCAATTAAATGTTGTAAATGATCGTTCGACTCCACTCGGAGTTCAAAAAAATACTAAAGTTAACAAAGATATCAATTATCCATTGGATATTAGCAACATACAGAAATCTCATTGTACAAATCTAATAATGGCAACCAAGCCGTCGGAAAAACAAATTGAAAAAGTAACAAAAAAACAATATGCAGTTGTTGGAAAAAAAGAAGAATGCAACACAACACCAAAACCACGAAATAAGTTAATTGATTTATTAAAAGATCCAAACATTCGAATGTTTCATAGACGACTGATTGAAATAGGGCCTCGAATAGCTGAGGATAATATTATATTTCCTGAAGAGTAAGTTGACTTTATCAGTAACAAATTACATTTAGTCCAGACCGAATAGGAGAAAGCGAAACTCCTGAGTGGGCCCGATCGGATAATTTAATCAGATCGGTAAAAGCTCAGCATCATTGGAACCCGTTCAGTATTTTTGGCTGCGGTGTCAAGACAGTGCACTTCCACGATGTTTTTTCTACTCCTGACTTTTTTGGAAGAAGAGAAAATTATAAAACCTTAAAAAATACGCGTGTGATTCGTTGGTATTCCGATAAATCTACATGTGGCTTTGGTGAAGCTAGCGGGTAAGTTATTAACGTAGTTGATTTTATTTTAGCATTTCTGGAGAACACTTAACATATATGATTTCGACTTTATGTAAAACTAAAGACGTGTCAAGCCTGGCTTATTCTTCTGAATGGGAGTCTTGTAATATAACATGCAAACACGATGACGACAGAGATCAACCTTGGTTTAAGATTGAATATGCTAGACACGCTCTAGAAAAAGACTAATTTTTTTTTTTCTTAAGTCCTAGTTTACTCTTTAATTTGTATTTTTTGCTTAACTTGTTAATAATGGTAGTTGGTCGTTTTTTTACTTTTTTTTTTTTGCTATTTTTGACTGGTTTAATTGACTTGATTGGAGTTTCAGCGACAAAAGTGCCGATTTCTTCGTCGGTTAAAAGTTCCTCAGCACCTATAGAATCAATTAGAGCTTGATAATTTTCTTTCTGTGAATGATCCATTTTTTAATAAGACGGATTTATGGAATAATTAACTAAAAAGTAAAAAAAAATATTAGTCGAATTCCAGTCTGACCCGTTTATCAATAGTAGTATCTCGTTGTTTATATGCATATAAACTTGAAGACTGAAATGCACATCTCGGACACATAAATACAAAAATCGCGCCAAAACTGACTTCTAAGTTGTTGTTTAAGCCCAAATAATCCAAAATTGAGGAGTGAAGCTGAAATAAAAGTTCGGTTCTTTTTCCGCACCGCTCACAGGTTGGGAAGTTTTCTAAAACGCCGTTTGAACAAAACCATAATGGAACTTTAGAAAATCTTACAACTTGTGGTTCATGTTTTTCCATATGCTTTAAATATTTTGCTAATACTGCATCATTAGCAACTTCTTCAGTCAATTGATTGACTAATGGATTGAGTTTTTCGTTAATTTCAGTTAAGATATTTTTATACTCATCAATCTCTTCAGTGGCATCTACTTGAATATCTTTGTATTCTTGATCAAGTTCTGTTTGATGGATTTTTTTTTGTTCTACATCCAAATAAATTAGAAAACAAGGTAAACAAGAATTAATATCAGATATTCCATTGATAAAAATATGACACCGGTTGTGATAGTTTGAATCAGAATGTGGCAATGCACAATGAGCGCAGCAAAGTTCGTTTAATTTTTTCTCGTGTTCTAAAGACAAAAAATAGAAGTTATCTATTATATCCAACTCGCAGTTCAATTTCTGAGTGATTAATTTTATACTATTTGAACAAGTCCAGCAGGACAATAAAAAATTAATGATGATTTGATCCTTGTCCCCAGTTCCTTCAGTAATGATTTGAGCCAAAAAAATATAAAGATTATCACAAATAGGGCAAACTAAGTCTTTTTCAGACGGAAGCGTGCTAATGTCTGTCCAGCTTGGTCTTCCTCCTATTTTATTATGAAAAATTAGTCTATCGCTATATAAATTGTTTTCGAATTTTTCTTCGATGTAACCGACTAATATCTCCTCAGCTTTATGCATTATTAATTTCAGCCAAGCTATTATTTAGTAGAAGGAAATACAAGCCAAAATATTATTACGTAAAATTTTGAAATAAAAATAAAACTAAGATAAAACAATATGCATAATGGTTTCGAACAATTTCTAAATAAGCAAGAGGAAGAGGTAGAACATCAACGATTAGATAAGTTGATTTGTAATTTGATAAAAGAAATTCGCGTCTCAAATGATAACGGATGGAGTCAACTTAACAAGTTAAGCAATATTGTTATCGATAACAAACGTACTTACGAAAGAAAATGTACTAGCTTAGAAAATCGTCTTGAAGAGAACAAAGTTAAAGCACAAGAAAACATTGATTATGACTATTGTGCTGAGAGATTTTTAGATTTGTTCGATAAAAATGATAATATAATACTTTCCGGACCAGGCAGCAAGTTTTATTTTTTAATCAATTTATGTAATAAATTAAGAGAATTTGCTGACTGCGTTTTAATCTGCGAAAATGTAAAAGAAAAGGTTTTAGCTACTTATAAAAATTATATTGTCATTTTGAATGTGAGTAATATGAAAATACTAAATAAATTGATGCATAGTTTTATTTTAGCAGATATAGGAGAAGGAAATAGTTCAGGAAACAAATATATAATATCTGTCAACTCACATTATTTGCAAGCGCAACTAGACGTATGGGGCCTCCTGCCTTACGAAGCTTGCGTCGTGGAGTTGGACAATGAGGCAGATTATATTCCTGAAATACTGTTGAAGCATAATGAATCAGTTCAGGCGGAAATTAAATCTGAAATATTAGGTAAAAAAATATTTAATGTCGAAAGGTTTGCTAACAAATTTAGCTCATCTTCTTGTGAGCATCTTTCCACAGAGAGTTTGTTTGATACTTACAACACAATAAAAAAACGACAAGCTGGAAATAATAAGAACAAGCTGAGAGTAACGGTTAAGCCAGAAAAAAAGGCGCCCCCTGTTTCTGGAAGCAAAGAAAATGTAGATGAGATAGCAAAGCTCGGTAAAAGTTCGTTGGAAACTTTGCTTCTACAGACTCACGAAGATCTTAACTGGATAAACAATTCAGAGTCCTTGTGGATTTGGACATGTTGGATCATACAAACTCGTGAAAACATGCTTCAAAATATAATAGCTTGTTTGGATAACATAATTAATGACATTGACGCTGATAACACAATTAACATAAGCATTTTAAAAGAGTTGGAACAATATGGTGATGCCGTTGAAAAATTAGAGGACTACTCAATCATTCCTAGGAAAAGACTCACTAGGCGGGTCAAATGTTACGCAACCAAAGATGATTGGTGTGTGTCTAGAGACACTATGCTAACTATTACTGATAAGTATAAAAATTAGAAAATAAAAAGCACTGCTCATTTTTGAAAAATGTGGGTATTTATAAATCGTATAATAGAACCAGAGCGTGTAGTTTTCTTCTTTAGTTTTTTTTTTTTTGTTGAGTCAATTTTAGACGAGTTGTTTAAGAATTTTTCAATAAGTGCTAGCTTATCTGACACAGTTACCGTGTCCCAAGCTTTTTTAACTTCTTTAGATACCAACAATTCAGAATCGACTACTTGGCCGTTATGCAAGGTGGTGAATTTATCATATTTATATAAGATGAATCCGCGGAGTTTCAAACAGTTGTCACACTTTTTAGGCGCTTTGCTGTAAATGTCACAGTATTCGGATTCGGTCATTTGGTAAAGTTTGCATTTGTTATTTTTATCATATCGAATAGCTCTGATCATGCGTTTTTCTAATGCTTCGTTGATCCAGTTTATCATATTAGTTGATGTTAATAAAAGCTCGACGGAAACTTCTATGCCATTTTTAGAATTTTCGACCAATTTTTGCACGTCTTCACAAGAATTGATGTCTTGATAAGGCGACACGAAAGACCAACAACGAGTAGTTTCATCAAAATTCATTCGTTCGTTCATTCGTAACATCTTGATGAAGTTAGGGTGTGAAAACAGGTTGATGTAGTAATCTAAGTTGTAAGATGAATTTTGCTTCGATGCATATTGATTAACTAGTTCGTTTTGGAGGTCAAAAGTTGTGAGAGGGAGAGATTTTTTCAGAATATCGTGGCATTTTAAAAATATCATACTAGCACTTTGTCCGCCGAGTAACTCTTCGAGCTCATGATCTTGCTCATTTTTTTCGTTTCCCATTTATGAATAAAAATAAATTATAAAACTAAATACTAACAGATCGTTGAAAAGTTTCTTTAATACACTTAGGCATTGAGTGTATTTAATACTTTTCTTGTTTATATTATTAAAAAAATAAAAAAAAATTTGTGTAGCATATTTTTGAAATAAATAAAAACTCAAATATAACTGATCCAATAATAAATTACCAATAGTTCGATTCGGGCAATCACAACTAGTATTTATGATAGATCAATCTGTTAGAGTCAAATCTGATTTATTTTCTGTTAACAAACCTGGTGAAAGATGCGAGTTTGAAAAAGATGTGCTCGGGTCAGCTCACAACAAAAACCAAGAACTATTATGCAGTTCGCAAAATCAACTTAACGGACAAAACTTGAATCTGAAGCACAATGTGATTATATATCATGATAATACTGGAGTGCGTACCTTCGCATCTTCTTTCGAGGCTGCTCTGTATTTGTTAATGGTAGAGGATATCAGCTTTGAACGATTCCAAACATTGATTGAGTCTGAGAAATTAAAAATACGTGAAAACATGACGTCAATATCGAACAATGATATATGGAAATTTAAAATCTTGCAATATACAACCAACATCGTGCCAAGCGTAGCAACACCAATGATTTCAAAGCAAGTGATGTACTCAGATTCTATGGACAAACTAAGTACAAACGAAAATTCAAGCAACGTTTCATACATGGCGATTTCTAGAGAGTCATTTTACGACGATTCGCGAATGTCATCAAGCAATGGAAACAAAATTAACAATGGTGATCAGAGTCTCGCGCACACCATGCATATACCAATTGATCACGCCGGCGAACTAATTTCGTTTTCTTCTATTCAACATTGGATTAATCCCACAGCAGAAGAGATGGAGATCTTGAGAA